GAGATGACCATCCGAAAACGTATCGGCAACATGTAACTTTTACAGATCTCTTCCTTTTCTCTTTGTTTGTGTAGATTATCCTATTGGTTCAATTATAAGCCTTACAGTTTGATTGATTACGTAATATGTGTATAATTTGAGTAAGAATGAGGAAATTTGGACTTAGTACGTGGAAATTAGCTCGTAAGCTATGGAATTCAAGCTGGAGAAGTTATCAGCTCGAGTTTTTAGGTGTACACGATGCGTAGCTTGTACTCTATTTCGTTTGAGCTTATTGTCTTTGATTGAATTTGTCTTATCGGATATACGCTTTGAACTCTAAATGTCAATTAGGTTAATTTTCAACTCTAATGGATTCTAAGTTTGCCAGAGGAAATTGGTCACTGTATTACTTTTAGAGTAATCACTGCCAAAATTGTAATTTTTGTATTAAAATTTACAGGAAATTGGTCGCTGTATTAAAATAGGTGTGAATTCCAAACGTAAAGCTTCTTATGATTGTTCTTTTTGTTCTTATTGTCCTCTTCTATCCTATATATATTTGGGGATAAGATAGATGAAAGTAACAACAAACAAATTTTCTCAGAATTTGATGGATGTTTTCATCTTTAGTGAGCTAATTTCTCGATATAATGGTAATGTTGCTATAAAACAATGCAATTTGTGATTCGTTTTGTATCATTTTCTTATGATTTACAGATTTAATAAAAGGGTGGAGGATTTTCCATCATTAAGAGAGTATAATGACTACTTAGAGGAAGTTGAGGACATGAGTAAGCTCTTCTCTAGTTCTCTTAAAGACTTATACAACAGATATTCTAGGAATGTCATTTTCATTTGCATAATTGCATCTATTTCTTTTCAGTTGTAAACTTGGTTGAAGGAATAGATGTTCCTGTTATTGAAGCAAAGATTGCATACTACCAAAAAGAAAATGCAGAACAAATAATGAATGCTCAAGCTCGTAAGGTTTGTCATTTGTCAAATGATGAATGCTTGAAATCTGTGAGCTTTTTGATCTCACATTGCAGTAACTAGTTTTCATTGATCATGTAGGCTGAAGAATATGCAGCAGCATTAGCAGCAAGCAAAGGACAACCTGCACAAACTGATGTTGATATGGTGAGTTTTCATGTTTATGCTTTTGTTTTGATAATTAGAAGGTATTTAAGGAAGGAGGAATCACTAATCTAGTCTTAAATATATATTTCAAGTTTTACATTAAAAGAATAATTTCATTACACATCCGATCATGATGTTCCATGAAATGATACATAAAATAACTTCATTTCTACCATTTGTATCACCATGTGATAAACCATTTACTTTACTATTTAACTTAGGCTACGTTTGGCATACTAGCTGAAAAACTAGCTCATAGCTGAAAAACTAGCTGGTTAAAAATGTCGTTTGGTAAAACTGGCTGAAAAGCTAGCTGAAAACTATAAAATGACATAAAAGGATATTTAAAAGAATGTATTTCTATAATTAATTAAGGGGTATATTTGGAAAATTTAAAAAAAAAAACTCGTAAAAAGTAAGTCTAAGGCTGTATTTGGTACGCCGCAAGTAGCGTATTTTTCAAGTTTTTTTAAGTTGTCATGTTTGGCAAGCCAAAAAGTAGCTTATAAGCTAGCTTTTTAAAAAGCTACTTAAACTAGCTTTTTAGGATATTTTTAAAATTTTCCAAATATACCCCTTAATTAATTATAGAAACACATTCTTTTAAATTTCTTTTTATATCATTTTATATTTTTCAGCTAGCTTTTCAGTCAGTTTTACCAAAAGATATTTTTTATCAGCTAGTATGCCAAACATAGCCTAAATAGCTTTATAAAAAGCTAGTTTTATAAGCTACATTTTGGCTTGCCAAACATAACAACTTAAAAAAGCTCAAAAAATAAGCTAGCTGTGGCGCGTCAAACACAACCTAAATCCAACAAGATCCATAAATCCAATCCAAACGCAGTACAATCAGTTCTATCCAATCCAGTCCAGTCAGTCCTGTTTTCAACTTCAAGTTTCCTTATTCTTTAAATATTAAAATCTTTATTATTTTAACATCGTGGATTTTTTTATTGTTTGAGATAGACCACGGGCACGAGCTCCCAATTCGGGGTGTCGACTTCAGACGGGCATTATGTCCCTGCGGTTGCTGGCGGGACAATCCCACAACCGCGGCCCACACAACCTCTCCCAGTGGGGTCCGGCGATGACCTACACGCGTATCACATGGACGATGAAGAGATGATGAGATTAAAAGCCGAACGCGGTGGAAAGGCGGGAGGGTGGAGCATAGAATTAAGCAGGAAACGAGCCCTTGAAGAAGCCTTTGGAAGCATTTGGATCTAATATTTTCAACTTAATAATATAAATTCCTTTTTTTGACTTAATGAGGTTAATCTGGTGAGCTATATATGAGTGTTTTCTTTTTTACTTAATCCAGACAACATTTAATGAGGGAGGAAAAAAAAACAAGGGATGAGAGTGTAAAGAACATTTTTATGGTGACAATGGGATTTTTGATCGTGTATTATGAACATATATTTGATTCGGATAAAAGTTAAATGCAGACATGGGAAAATGTTAACAGTTTGGTTTATTTTGTAAGATATAGCAATAATGTACTTTTAAGTTTTTTTATTAAGATATTGTGTGGTAAAAAAGTATAAATCATTTATAGCATTTTTCTTCCAAATTTCTTCTTATGAGGGTTTTGTACTTGAAAAATCTACCAGTAAAAGCTGTTTTGTATTTGATCGTGTATATGTCTTTTTAACCATATCGAGTTGAAGCTTCATGAAATGAAGGGATAAATAAACTGTGTGTAGTGTATATCTGTTTAGTTTGCGATAATAGCACCTTTTAGAAGCTTATGGGCGAATTACGTCAAGGTTGAATTTGAAAAGTATATTTTTGATGATGCGGCATAAATACAAATTGTTGAGGTGACAAAAGAAATTACATTTTGAGGTTGCATTGACGTATTTTTTTTATTATAAAAGTATACAACTAAAAAAATAGGGTTAACCACCAAAATTGAAAAAAAAAAAATCCAACAAATTGACCAATAAAAAATTAGGTGTCTTTTACAAATGTCTATATTTAAAAACTAAGATAATATAAGCATGTTCAACAAAAGTAATTAACTGGTAGCGGATAACGGGTAACTGATAGTTGATTGTGTTTTGTTAAACACTATGTGAGACAATCTTTAGATTTGAAACATTTTAATTAAACTAAACACTAAAAGTAGTACCAAATGAGGTTTTTTGTTAAAAGCAGAACGTTTTCTTCACAAACGTTCCGTGCCAAACACGTCCTATATAACTATTCATGTTATTGGCTCTTCCAATGAGAGTCTAGTGGTTGAGATGCAAAATCTCATACCGAAGGTCCAAGGTTTAAACTTTAGTACACCAAAATACTAAAATGACCATTCTAATGATACAATTTATATTTTTTAATTACTCATTTTATAAAATTGATTATGTAAGATTGCTTTATAAATAATTTTCAGTAAAATACATTGTATTTGTTGTTCATTTCGCTAAAATTAGATATGTATATGGCTTTACATAATTACTTTCTAACTAACTGAGCGAATGTTTATCATTTTTTTAATATAATGTCATTTTAGGCACCGTTTTAAAAATCAGTTTTTTAGTTGAACCGGTATGGTGATCGGTTTCTGGTTTGACGGTCGAATGGTTTCTATAAATTTCATCCACAAATTTAAACATTAAAAATACACATAAATAATACAAGTTGTAGATCAATCCAAATATATTAAAAAACACATAATCATAAGTTTTACATCAATCCATATACATCAAATATATATATATATATATATATATATATATATATATATATATATATATATATATATATATATATATATATATATATATATATATATATATATATAATACAAAGTTTTTGACTAGTGGAATGAACCACCATTCCCTTAAACAACACAAACACATTAATTGGTTTAACCAAGTTTTTGTAAAAACCGTCCGATTCATTCCGGTTTAAAAAATAGACATAAAATCGGTGCTAGTTGAACTGTTATCCGGTTTCCGTTCTAACTGATTTGACCAACCGGTTCAAAAACCGGTTTTAAAAAACATTGATTTTAGGTTTTACATAGCCTCTTGCGATTTTTTTTGTTGTTTACAAAATTTGAAGTTTTTAATTGATGTATTTGTATTATGACTCAACAAATAGGAGATACATTCATAAATATTTCTCTCCCAAGATTCTTCCCTTTCCTACCATATAAGACTAGAGTATCAAGTGAGGGATAAGTATGCTAAACTCAAGGATTCGAAATTACCAAGTAAATGCACTTAAAATGTACACAAATAATTACCAAGTAAAAGCATCTACACAAATACACCAAGATAGGGCAAATTAATTAATGGGCTAAAACATCATTGAGGTAAATAAATCAAAGGGTAAATGTCACTATAGCTCATTCAACTATCGTCACTTATCCTATTTGGTCACTTAAGGTTTTTTTTTTTTTTTTTTTTTTTTTTTTGCTCAATAGGTCATTAAACTTACAACTTATATGTCTATTAAGTCATTTTCGTTAGTTTTTAACAGATCTTTCGTTAACCAGTTATTATAATTTACAAGAATGGTCCTTATGATTTCAATTTCTTTCGTGGTTGGTCCCCATACCAACATAGTTCATCATCGACGTCACCACCGTTCAATTCCGGCAACTACCACCTTTCACCTTAGGCAACCCCGTCAACTATTATACTCAACCTTTTTCTTAAACCCACTTCATATACATCATATTTCTTTCTCTCTATATAGAACCCCATTCTTCTTCCTGCTCCTATCTCCTTTAAGAACACTAATTACAATGGAAGAAAGTTCCACTGATGATCAAAGCACAACTACAGAAACAACTTCAACAGTTGCAGCACCGGTGACTACGTCTCCACTGATCGGCAGTGGGGGCGGCATGGTTCTTTACATCGATGAAGTTGAGGTTGGAAGCTAGTTTCTTGAATTCTTATTCAAAAGCTGAGATTGTTGATATGTTGAGGAAACACACATACAGTGATGACCTAGAACAAAGTAAGAGAAGCTGCAGCTTAAACAAAACCCCTTTTACAAACGGGTTTAGATCGGATGACAACTTGGTCAACGTCCGGGAACAACTTTTTAAGAAGACAGTCACCCCAGCGACGTCAGAAAAGTGAACTGGTTAGTGATACCAAAGCAACACGTAAAGAAGCACTTCCCGTTGCAAAGCGGAAGCACTTCCAAAAGAGTTCTTTTACATTTCGAAGACATCGGGATGAAAGTATGGAGATTTCGTGATTTCGTTTACTCATACTTTAATAGTATTCAGAGCTACGTTTTAACTAAAGGTTGGAGCCAATTCGTGAAGGAAAATAACTTAAAAGCTGGTGACATTGTGAGCTTTCAAAGATCCGCGGGTTTAGACAAGCAACTTACATCGACTGGAAGACAAAAAACGGGTCAGGTAGCTCCAATATTCAAGAACAAGAAACTTTACAAAATAATCAAGAACGGTAATGGTGCAGGTGACGAACGATACTAGTAAAGGACCAATCATGAAAGAAATTGAAATCATAGGGGCCATTCTTGTAAATTATAATAACTGATTAACAGAAGATCTGTTAAAAACGAATGAAAATGACTTAATAGATTGTAAGTTTCAAGACCTATTGAGCAAAAAAAAAAAAAAAAAAACTTTCGTGACTAAATATGATAAATGATGATAGTTGAATGGGCTATAGTGATATTTACCTAAATTAATATATTTCCAAAAGAAGTTTTTAATTTACTAAATAAATATTATTTTGCAAAATCTCTTATACGTATCTTGGTTGGCTTTCTTAATTCAGTTATTTATTTATTTATTTATTTTTCCACTTTGGTGCGTTTCATGTAATACCTTAATAAGTTCCTCTTGAACAATATGCAAATTTGGTTGCATTTTGTACTCTACCGTAAAGACTTATAAAAGGAATATGAGAAAATATTTATGAAGGATTCATGCATCACAATTTTGTGGAAGAATATTGGGCGGGAAATATTATTTTTGCTCAAACATATATGTTGTTCGAAATTTAGAACATTTTTTTTTTTTTTTTTTTTTTTTTTTTTTTTGTCAAAGTAAATGTTTGAATCTCATAATTTATTTGGAATTTCAAATTATGATTTTTTTTTCTAACATGTCTTATCTAAAAGATGTCTAAAACTTATAATCTAGTTTGAAATTAAACTAGTTTTTGTTGTTTTTTTTATTTTTCTTTTAAAAATCTTTGATAAAATCTTAATAATCTGGACACTTTACGGTTTAAATCAAATTTTTATTTTTTAAACACAAAACTCCCGATTATTTTATGTTTTTTTGCCAAAATGAACGAAATAATTATATTTTTTTCAACAGAATATGATAAATTGTTGTATAAAATTAGATAATCGAAACTTTTCTATTAAAAAAGTAAATATTGAGATTAAACTGTAAAATGACCTAAAATATCTTGATTTTATTTTATTATTTATTTTTTTAATTACGACTGGTTTATTATAAAAAATGATTATTTAATTATTTTGCACTAGTTTATAACCCGTGGGAACCACGGTTACAATAAATAAATTTTTATAGTAAAAATTCATAAATTATTTATCAATTACTTTAAATAAATTATTAATTATAAAATATATCAAACATTTAAAGTTATTATAACTTCAAATTTAAATATAATTAGAAAAAGTAAATTTGAATTTTGAAAGGTTACCTAATATATTTCTTTAACATGTGGTATGATATTAATGAGAAATTGTATTAGAGTCACACATATCAAATGGAGATTAAAACTATTTATTTATTAGAATAGGGATTAATATTCATATATGTTAATGAAAGTTGTTTTTTTTTTTTTTTTAAAGAAAACATCCTGATCTTATTGATGGTCCCTCAACCAAAGAAGAACTTGCGGTTATTTTTCATCCATTATCTCTCCGGTGCGATCAATTTCTCAACCAACACTCCCTCACCATCTTCACAGTTTATTGGAGTTTCAGCTTACAGTTCAATCGCGCCATTGCTTGAAGCTTGTAATTCGAATTCTATCGATTTGCATGAGGTTAGAAATGACTCCGAATTGAATTACTGAAATTCGCAGCTGCTTCTAAATGGCTTCAATAAAATGCTGTGTTCATTTAGATACTTATGATTCGAAGAAACTTAACTCCGTTTTGCAGTTCTCAGATCGAGGTTTAATCTTTGGCTTTACTAGTGTAACTAACTACTCCTTTGGTAAGTCAAAACAAGTTAGGGTTTCTAAATTCGATACGGAATTTTCTGATGTTTTACAATCGAATAATGTTGAAAGACCATTGGATTTGAATGATGAGAATGTTGCTTCACGAAGCCCTAAATTATATGGAGAGTTCAGGAAGGGGAAGAGGAGTATATGGAAGCGATTGGATGGCATGAAAAATGTAGCTAAAAATTTGAAGGCGATTCATATTTCCAGAACCGAAAGTGAAACAGAACGTGAAATTGGTAATGTAGATGTGTTATTCGAGAATGATAATGCGTTTTATGAGAAGCTAAGTTCCAATGGAGTTGAATCAAGTTCAGCCCATTGCAACTCTATCTTGGAGAAGCTTGAAAGAAGTGGTCGTGATGATGAAGCTTTAAGATTCTTCAAATGGATGAGAATCAATGGAAAGCTGAAACACAACATGAATGCTTATAAGTTAGCTTTAAGGGTATTGGGTAGGAGACAAGATTGGGAGGAAGCAGAAAGGTTGATTCAAGAAATGCAGACCAAGTCAGAGTTATCTTGTGAACTCAGTTTCCAAATCTTCAACACTCTCATTTTCGCGTGTCATAAACGTGGGCTTGTGACAGCTGGCAGAAACTGGTTCCAAATGATGTTAGATAAAAACGTTCTCCCCAATGTTGCCACTTTTGGCATGATGATGAATCTTTACCAAAAGGGTGCTCTTCTTGATGATGCAGAGTTTGCTTTCTCACAAATGAGAAACTTCAAGATTGTATGTCATAGTGCATATTCATCCATGATTACTATGTATACACGTGTTGGATTATATGAAAAAGCAGAAGAGATTATCGAGTTTTTGAAGGAAGATAAAGTGGTTTTGAATCAAGAAAACTGGTTAGTGTTGCTTAATGCTTATAGCCAACAAGGAAAGTTAAATGAAGCAGAAAAAGTATTGGCTTCAATGCATTCATCTGGATTCTCTCCTCATATTGTTGCTTACAATACACTCATAACAGGATATGGAAAAATCTCAAACATGGAATCTGCTCAAAGAATCTTTCATGACCTAATTTCATCAGGTTTGAAACCCGATGAAACCACTTACAGAACCATGATTGAAGGTTGGGGTCGATTACAAAACTTCAAAGAAGCAGAAAGGTATTACAATGAAATGGTTACCTTAAATTTCAAGCCAAATTCATCGAATCTTTACACAATGATTAACCTTCAAGCCAAAAATGGAGATGAATCAGGTGCTATGAGAACCATAAACGATATGAACAAAATCGGATGCCAATTCTCTTCTATTCTCGGGATTCTTCTACAAGCATATGAGAAAGCAGAAAGATTCGATAAAGTGGCATATGTCATAAAAGGTATTCATTTGCTTTACAATCATGTTTTGAACAATCAAACTTCATGTTCGATTCTTGTTATGGCATATGTGAAAAATTCATTGGTAGATGATGCTATTGAAATTCTAGGGATTAAAAAGTGGAAAGATAAAGTATTTGAAGATAGTTTATATCATTTACTTATATGTACATGTAAGGAGTTGGGTTATCTAGAAAATTCCATCAAGATTCACGAATCTATGCCAAAACCCGAAAAACCAAACTTGCATATCACTTGTAGTATGATTGATATTTACACGCGTTTGAATCGGTTTCAAGAAGCAGAAGCCCTTTACATGAAACTAAAATCAAAAGGGATTCCTTTGGATTTGATAGCATTTAGCATAGTAGTAAGAATGTACATCAAATCTGGATCTTTAAACAACGCGTGTTTAGTTCTTGAAGAAATCGAAAAACAAAAGGAGATCAAGATTATCCCGGATACGTATTTAATCCGTGATATGCTTCGAATTTATCAAAGATTAGGAATGGTAAACAAATTAGCCGATCTATACTACAAAATCTTGAAACTTGGAGTTATTTGGGATCAAGAAATGTATAATTGTGTCATAAATTGTTGTGCACGTGCTTTACCAATCGATGAACTTTCAAGGCTTTTCAATGAAATGATTCACAACGGGTTTTCACCAAACACCACAACATTCAACGTAATTCTTGATGTTTATGGAAAATCGGGTCTTTTTAAAAAAGTGAGACAAGTGTTTTGGATGGCTAAAAAACAAGGGAGAGTAGATGTAATCTCTTACAACACTATCGTTTCCGCATATGGGAAAAGTCAAGATTTGAGAAACATGGCTTCGGTTGCTAGGAGAATGAAGTTCAATGGTTTTTCTGTGTCTCTTGAAGCGTATAATTGTATGTTGGATGCGTATGGAAAAGCGGGCGAAATGGAAAAGTTTAAAAATGTGTTGTTGAGGATGAAGGAATCGAATTGTGGGTCGGATTGTTATACGTATAATATTATGATTAATATTTATGGTGAAAAGGGGTGGATTGATGAAGTTGGTGATGTGTTGATGGAGTTGAAGGAGTGTGGGAGGGATTTGGATTTGTGTGGTTATAATTCGTTAATTAAGGCGTATGGGATTGCGGGAATGGTGGAAGAGGCGGTGGATTTGGTTAAGGAAATGAGAAAAAATGGAGTGGAACCGGATCGGATTACATATACGAATTTGGTTATTGCTTTGCAGAAGAATGATATGGTTTTGGAGGCACTTAAATGGTCATTGTGGATGAAACAAATGCGGATTTGATGTTTTTATCAGACATGATAGAACAGATTGTACTGTGTTTGTTATTGGACTGAGAGTCAGACTAATGTCAGTTGGACAAATATTGTAGGGTTTTGTCGTTGTATGCACATGTGTCGTGTATAAAATTGTAATATTTTGTTGTGTAAACGAAATGAAATATATATATAAAAAAATTGTTAGTTTTTTATTTTATTTTGTTATGATTATTGCATATGATATTTGAGAATTTAGATTTTAGTAATTGGGTTTGAATATTACTATGTAACTTTTTTAAAATCCTAAACTAGTTGAGTAGACTTGAAGTATGGTAAGGTTAAATGTATGGAATAGCAACGTGTTTTTGTTCATTTGTTTATTATAGGATCTTATTTTTTTTTTATTTATTAAAAAGTGTACTATTTGGATGTAATAGCAATGTTATCTAAAATATAAACTTTATAATTGAAAAGATTTGTCAAACTACAATCTAATAATAAAAATAAATCTAAAGAACAATGTTATAATTTGGTAGATTCATCATTGTCTTGATAACATAAAAAAGGAAAACACAATAGAGAGAGAAATAAATAAAATAATGAATGTTAAAAAGTAAAAACACTTTTGATTATTTAGGATAAGGTAAAAACTAAAAAAGTTTCATTGACAATGTAAGACAATAACATCGGTTTCAATTTTTTACAAAACAAAAAGATCCAATTCAAATTCAACAAGACATTGGCTTAAAAATTAATTTGAGACCCGTTCTAATCCTTTTTATTGATCCACTTGTGTTTGGACCACAATATCCTATTAATTTCTACAATATCTTTGGTTGCTTTTGCAAGTTGCTACCACCAAAATGATGATAATTGTTAACGGATGGTGTCTTTGTATGACTTAGAGATCACAATTTCAACATGTGTGTATACAAAAACAAGTTGTTCTAAATTATATTTGATTGCTAATGGATAGAAACTTGTAAAATATAAACCATTTAAAAAGAAAACAAGTCAATAAAGGTAAAAGTTTATCATAAGATAATCAACGTGTTTACAACATTTTAAATTGATCAGAGTTTGATCTTGTATCTTGTGCAGGATCAAAGTCTGATCCTAACATATCTAAAGTATCTGATTTATCTTTTCGGAATATGTTTAAAAATAATTTGGTATGAATCGATTGAGGTAATATTTTTCTTCTTGGGGATTTTATTTATAAAAGAACTAACACTATTTATTCGTATTTGTGTTTCGGGTAGGGCATAACTTATGCCCCAAATAATGCCTAAGTTGCCTCTTACAGGGTTTAAAAAGACAAGATTTCAATTGGTCTCCATCTTCTTTCTTCATTATTTCTAAGGAACAATATGTGTTACACTTTTTGTGGTCAATCACAAAAAGCAATGGACTTTGATGGCCCAATACTATTATTATTTTTGAAAGCACAAATAAAAAGAACTTATCTTTACCGTATGTTTTTCTTAATTATATATTTGTTACATGTGAAATCGATGCATTTGTGATACGACTCAAATAATAAACAACAATATAAGTGTAATTTGAAATATTAATTTATTTACAGGAAGTAATGTATCTGTAATTCTAGTCATCGCTTTTTACCTTCTATAATCTATTCTCATCTCTCCAAAATAAATATAACAATCATATTGTAAATATCTTGATTAATATTTAAAATGTATTCTATGACATGCTATAGAAACCAAAAATGATAAAATTCATTTTAAAACATATGGATTTATATTATAGATAAATCAACATCTGTTTTAAATATTTAAGTGATAATACGATTATTTAAAAACATATGGATTAATTATAGAGTTAACTCCATAAATTACCAATTTCCAAATTTATTTATTATAGAGTAAATTACAAAAATGGTCCCGTGTATATAGTGAAATGTGGTATATAGTAAAATTCACCTTCCGAGCCCAACATACAAAATTTGACACGGACAATCCATACGGTTCCTGTCACACCTCTGGCCGACCGCGAAACGCAGGGTGGTGTTAATAGACAATATATATTTAAGATATTTAACAATATTTTATTTATCTTATTATAGATGGTACTAAAGTGTAATATCTAGTCTTATATATAAGACATTTATTGTAATCTTCAAATCTTAAGAATAATACAAAAATCATTCGGTGGCTTATTATGGTATCAGAGCTGCCACAACCTCTGTAACCCTAAATCACCGATTTCTTTTTCTCTTTTCTTTCTTCTTTCAATCATTCTTCAATGGCGATGATCCACTCCTTTACCAATGTTGAGAAAACTACTCACAATTCTCACAAATTCGCCTTTAAACTCTCACCCACCAACTACGGATTCTGGAAGCAAATGATTCAGCCCTTCTTGGTCACCAATCGTTTATTCGGTTATATAGATGGTACCATCCCATGTCCTCCACCGAAGACTGCTGCAACTACTGACACAACCTCCACTGATAACCCTAGCTATCTTCATTGGGTTACCAATGATGCACATGTGCGGATGCTTCTTGCCTCTACTATTTCAGAAGCCTCCTATCAACATGTTCAAGGTACAACTTCCCGGGATCTATGGCTCTCCCTTGAAAGAGCCTATGCCCCCAACAACTCTTCTCGTGAATACACATTGAAGACTCAACTTTTAAAGATCGAGATGAAGGGTGATGAAACATCATCTGCCTATCTTACCCGAGCTCAGGAATATGCAACTGCTTTAGCCAATATTGGAGAACCCGTAAAAGACAAAGACCTAACCATGCTAGCTATCTCCGGGCTACGTGATGAATATAATGGCCTAAAGTCAAATCTGTTGGCTCGTTTCCCTCCAATAACCTTCCATGAACTGCATGGGTTATTAAGTGATCATGAGTTTATGATAAATCGATCACTTCCAGCAGTCCCCCAGGCCTTCATGGCTGTTGTCCCACCTGTTTCACGCCTCCCAGCTGCCCCACCAGCACAATTGACTAGTTTACAGCAGTTGGCAGTACAACTTGGCTACCAAATCAACCCCATTGTGGCTACAAACAATCAACCCTGAGCCTTCTATACCAACCGAACTTCCAACAATTACCGGGGCAAGCGTCGTGGTAACTCCCGTGGCAATTACAACTGAAATTGTGATGATTCACACGTTTCTGGTTCCGGTGGTAACACTCGTCCACCTCAGTTTGCTTGGGATTCAACTCAGAATATGGTGTATGGCCACTGTAACCGGTGTGGCATAGGTCATCTTCCAGCCCAATGCCCAAATCAGCCCTCTTTAACTTCAGCTCGTGATGTGTCACAAGCCAATTATGCAACATTATCAGAAAACGGCTCGAGTACTGGTTCAACATGGTTTCCCGATATTGGTTTAACAGTCACGTTACACCCGACTTCACAACTTTAGACAATGCTGATGCTTACAATGGCAACAATTCTCTTCATGTTGGTGACGGTAATCCTCTCCTTATTTTTCACATTGGTTCATCTAAACTATACTCTCCCACCAAAACCTTTAATCTATCTAATGTTCTTCATGTCTCTGAAATCAAAAAGAACCTTTTATCTGTTCATCAATTCTTCTTAGATAATAACGTGTTTTTTGAATTTCATTCGTCCTTTTTTTGTTGTGAAGGACGAGTCTACACGTTCCATCCTACTCACGGGACCAAGTAATCAAGGGCTATATTTGTTGTGTCTCCCAAAATTGAAATCTCTTCGTCATATGTCTTTCACTGCCATCAAAGCATCATCAACCACTTGGTATCATCGTCTTGGGCACCCTCATGCTCGTTTTTTTCAATCAATTATTTCTCATAGTCATTTACCTATTTCTTCACATGTAATTTCTTCTTTATGTTCTAGTTGTCAAATGGGGAAATCGTCAAAATTATCATTGCCACTTTCAAATTATCGTAGGAATCACGTTTTGGATTTAGTTTATTGTGATGTTTGGGGCCCCGCCCCATCTACTTCTTTTAGTGGTCACCGATATTTTTTTATTATGCATTGATCATCATTCCCGATACATCTGGTTTTACCCATTAGCTCAAAAATCGGATGTTTATATCACTTTTAAAAACTTTGTTCTCATGGTTGAAAGACAATTTACAACAAAACTTAAACAAGTTCAAACCGATTAGGGGGGGGGGGTGAATTTCACACTCTTGCATCTTTCTTCACCCCTCTTGGTATAATCCATCGCCGCTCCTGCCCTCACACAAGTGCCCAAAATAGCCTTGTTGACCGGCATCACCGACATGTGGTGGAAACGGTCCTTGCTCTCCTTGCTCACTCACATGCTCCTCCACGTTTTTGGGACTTTGCTTTCGAGACAGCAGTTTACTTAATCAACCGTTTGCCCTCTCGTAATTACTCCAACAAATCTCCTTTTGAGCATCTTTTCAATAAAACCCCAAATTATTCTTTCCTTAGAATCTTCGGGTGTCAATGCTTCCCGTATCTTCGCCCATATAACCGACATAAAATGGATTTTAGATCCACCCCGTGTGTCTTTTTGGGATATAGCCCTCTTCATCATGGCTCCGGTGTTTGGATCCAACCATTGATCGCGTATACATTGCACGCCATGTTCGTTTCAATGAAGAAAAATTCCCTTTTACCCCTTCTCCTACACCTTTACCTACTGAAAACGAACCTCCTTATTTCTCTCCTTTCCACAACCTCCACCCATTCCCGACACTCAAAATGCAACCTCGGATCCACCTTCTACTGCAGCTTTTTTTCAGCCTGCTGTAGCCTCGGTTACGCCTGCTGCTACCTCTTTTCATCCTTCTAACAGCCCACAAACTCAGCCTATACCTGCTGCCCCTACACCTAATTTTCAGCCCCAACCTTCATCATTACCCTCACAACCCCATACCCGACCTCCCAACCTTCGCCAAAACCCAAAAACCACCACTAGATATGACCCATCAACGTACTTCTCTTCCAATTGTCCTTCTGATTCTATTAAACCATCATCTTTTACCGTTGCTAACAAATCACCAATATGGCTTCAAGC